TTTATTAATCTGGTTGTCTTTAAGAGCAGATTTTCCAGGTCGAGACCCTGAGGGGAGCCACTTACCCAGATTGTTCTTTGTTGGCATAGAAGTGACTATGATGTGCTGGTCACCTTCCCCCACTCACCCTGGCAGAATGCAAGGTTTTGTTAGGAAACACCAGCTGTGCTGCTGCCTAAAAAGTACTCTCACCCATTAACCCCACAGCTTCTACCACGCAAAGGATGAAGGTTCATGGCAATGTTTCTGCTCCAGGGATGGAGGATGACTCTTGGATTCAATTTGCTTCTCCAGGGCATGTGGCCTCAAAGCTTGTGCCCATGGAAGCATTTATTGATACAAAGAAAATACGTAAGGTCCTGCTGCAGACTAAGGGCAGTTAGGAAGAAAATGACAACCATTTTCTCTTGTTTCTTCCTTTCTGAGGGATTCTGGGTGCACAACTAATACAACCCAGGCTTAGCACAACAAAATATTCTTAAAAGTAATTTTTGTACTGGAAGATTTGGAGAAGTACTATAAATAGCCCCTAGTAAGCACTTTGTAAGAGCACCTAGTGTACTTTATATATGTAGATTTGTAAAGGTATCCAGTGCAGTGTGGAGGTTTAGGCCAGACAGCTACCATTAGCAGTAATGGCTGCTCAACCCCTGAATCCCCAGATGTGATACTGAAAATTACCTCCAACTATCGAATTTAACTGATTTCTCTTTTAATTTTTTTATTCCATTTTTTTCAAAGGCTGCTTCAGATTTTTTTTAAGCTGTTTCAATACCCAGAAGTGCTGTAAGGACTCCTCATGGAATTAATTTCAATTGGCAACTTGACTTTGAAGAATATACAAATACATATATATAGATAGAGACATAAACTTACATTATTATATAAAAAAATCACTAGTTTAAAGGAGCAGTGCTGTTGCAAAGTCAAGCAAAGTTAAGGAATGTGAGAATAAAGGTGGCTCATTGTGGCAGCAACTGAGGCAGCATTAAGACTCATATAATCCTAATTCATTCCCTTAAATTCATGATTTGCAATATGGATTTAAATTATATTATTAGATTACTAATTTTTCCCACAGGAAATACTCACTTCAGTCCATGACCTAGGTAGATGGTGCTCAACAAAGGAGCAGGGCAGTTATTCAATATTTTTGTTATTCTCACTGTTCAGAGTGGTCCCCCATCTTCCTCAGTTCACACTGGTTTCAAATTGTACTTTACAGAACAAAGAATTTTCATTTACTTGTGGGATAGTCTACTACACTCCATGGCATAGTATCTGAATAATTCTAAAACATTAATGAATTTATTTTCAGAACATCCCTTTGGTTCATTTAATTGTAAACCATTTTACAAGTGGGAAGCTGAGGCACAGAGCTAATAAGGTTAAAAATATCTGTTCATCTTGGGTTCTTCTGAGATGCCTAACACTGTTGCTCCTCACTATTAAACATCACGCAACACCGTATTTGTTCAAGTGTACTTCCTATTGACCTATTGTGGTTATGAAGCACTTCACTAAATCAGAGCATACCTCTGTGGGGTAATGAAAACACACTTCTTCTGGGTCAGCTGACACAAGCGTAATCCTGTTGCCATTGGCAGCAGCAAGGGTTCGGTTTAAATTTATGGGAATTACAACAAAAATTCATGCCATCAAGATGAACCTAGAGATAATCACACGAAGTTTTCTGGTGCTAAAACCAAAACCCCAATTTTTTCACTTGCAAAGCAGCAGTTTTAACAACCCATATTTTCCTTAAAGATAGTACAGCAAACTATGTCCGTGTAGATAAGCAGGGAGTAATTTACCAAGCTATAACTTTACCCTCTTCCTCCAGGAGTTGATGTGGGGCCAGCAGGCTGCTTTCTCTCCAGCTCATGGTTTGAAGTGCCCTGTTGTTGCTGGGTGGCAGGACCAGGCCAGGGCGTGCCAGGCTCCTGCCACCAGCCAGCCCCTCACCACCACTGGCCCAGCCATGGCCCGTGCTGGGCCTCACTTGGCTGATGGCACTTTAGCTCCAACACTTCTATCAACAGCCTCTGCTGCTCTATCTCTGGGAATACTGCACAGCATGCTGACAACTGAACATACTCTCTTGGAGTTCCTTTCCCATGAGCTCTCCAGGGCCAGGAGCTCTTGCAGTCAACAGGGGTGACCATCTCCTCCCCTCCGCTCCCTGCCCACACGGACAAGAAGCAGGCCTAGGCTTCTCTACCCTGGCTCAGGAATGGTCCTCCAGTCTCTAGGATCTGTTGTTCTTTGAGGACACGAATTCCTGTTAGCAGAAATGACATTCAAACACAAAAAACCACCATGTGCAAAACCCAGCATGCCTCAGGCTGGAAGGAGCCCCCAGCAGAGCTGTCTCCCCTTTGCTCTTCCTCCCGGCTTCCCCCGCCTCAGGGCTTCTCCACCGAAGAGGAATGTGGGGTTTTTGCTTTTACTGTAGACCTCAGTTGCTCTGCTTTTTTAAAAAAGATTTCTCCAGCTGAACAGACATAAGATTAGAGTCCAGTTCTCCAGGACAATATTCAGTTGCCAGCCTCCTTATCTGATCTGCATTTTCTGTCTTTGTCTAGTGGGAATCTTTCTTGTATTCACTGTTCCTCATCCAAGCATCATCATTCCACCCTTTTCCTGTCATTTTCTGCCAGTTCCCATACACAACTTACTAACTTACATTTTCTACTCTATTCATATTGAAACAAAGTGGGGTTTCAGGATACAGAAGGTCGGTTACCAAGAAAACAGAAAGGTTTATTCTCACCCTCAGTTTTGGTGTTCAAGTGCAGGAAAAGTCTGCTCTACCTCAGCAGCTCTGGGGAGGGAAGGCAGGAAGGCAGGCAGGGAAGGAGGGAGGGAGGAAGGAATATTGGTGCTCTCCAGGGATGCAGCCTCCACAGTCAGTGATACAATCCAGAAGGGAGAGATCAAATCTTGCCAGGGAAAAAGGAAATTAAAAAACCCCAAAATTTGACAAATTTAGCTCCTGAACTCTAAGAACTCTCCCTGAAGCAAACAAGTAAAAACTGACTGGATTTTTTAAAGCAGCTGATTAGTTAGCCAAACTTTCACACTTCCTTCATGACAACAGTGAAAGCCATGCCCTGACATGCTTATCCCTGCTGCCAAACGGCGAGTCCTTGCTTTTCTATGGGAGCTCCAGCAACTCTCAGTAAGACAATAAGTTAAAGAAATGAACCCAGACAAAGCACTGTGCTTCCCTCATTGTATTCTCTTGAATAGCAGAAAACTTTGAGGAAAATTCTGAAATAAAATGGAGTTTTTCAATCTAACTATTTCAACTAGCATCTGAAAGGGGTCTTATAATGGGTACTCACTATCTAGGTTGTGGCTAATACAGTAAGAGAGACAACTGTGTGACTCTTGCAAATAGGTGGATGGCCAGACAAAGATATATATTTTTACACCTTTATGAGTCATCTGGCCAGAAATTAAACACTTAAACTTGAATTTTGTCTCCCATTTCAAGCATTCACTTGTCATCAGTCCACTAAGGGGGATGATGCTATGAGAGAACACCTGTCTACACGAAATTCTTATTCTCTTCAATCTGTAATTAAATATCCCTGGGAAAAAGGTGCTGAACTTTGTACCTGAGGCACCTCCAAGTAATTATTTCACTCTAAAATTACATTAAAAGTATTTTGTGGAGGGTTTTTTAATTTTCTGTTTTAAAGAAGACAATATATTTTAATAATCTTGTGTTGAATTTTTTTTATTAAACTCTCTATGAATTTAAGAAAATATTTTAAAAGGTTTTTAATATTGAAAAAAACACCTTCTTTAACAAGAAAGCTCACTCTTAGCCATTCAACACCTGACATGTCAAAATGAGAGAACAAGCATGCAATGTAAGGCTAAAAGGGGGCAGCTCTCACTGTGACAAATCACTTTCAGCAACACCAACAGGTACAACAGAAAAGCTTCTTGAATCTACTTGCATGAGTCTTATACCAAGCTTACCAACCTTACAGCTCGGGAATTGCTTCTCCTGCGGTCTGTGCAAACCCAAATATAATCAGGGGATCATGCCCTCATGAGGTATCTGGACTGTATAATAGCAATAATTATAGAGCAGTATTATTAACAATCAGCCTACATTTTTCACTGTGACAGATTCAATGCACTATGGAATTCAACTTTTAATTGAAAAATAGTCAAACTATAGCGTTGCTGCTTGCAAAGATAAACTTTTCATTTGTACGTGGCTGCAGTTTTGTCTCAGTCTAACGCAACAGCTTTGAGGAAGATTGCCCTCATCTGTCTCAACTGTTAGCTATGTGCTAAACCTAACGTTTCAAATCTCCCCGAGACTAGAGAGCAAACCTGAGAGGATCTCAGCCTGTGTTTTACTTAGTGTAGAATAACTGGTCCCTCCAAGCATGTTTCAAAACAGCCCAGAAGGATTCTGTTTGTATCCCAGAAAATGAAGCGCTGAAAACCAGTGTTGTAAAATTTGATACATACTCTGAAGCATGAGATGAAATTAGAATATCACTAATTTTATATTTAAAAGAGTGATCTTTCACATGGAAAGGTTTTAGAAATAGTTACTACAATGCACAGCTCAATGCTGTGCTTCAAAAATCCCAAATTCAGATATCACAACCTTCGATTAGCATAGACATTAGTATCTGAACGTAACACGCTCCTCTATCTCCCACCCAGATATAGCTAGAGAGGTGCTGGGATATGAATGTCTTATTACTTCTTAGGTAAAAACACCACCTTAGTCAAGAGTCAGTCAACAAAATGCAATTCATAAATGTGATCCAGTTTTGAAAAAGAGAACCACACGTAAAAAACACCTGCTAGGTATCATGATGTGATTCTTGGGAACATTCACAGCTGCATTAAGAGACATATCAACCTAGACAATTTATCATAGGAAGAAAAATTCAGACACAAAAAAAAGGTAATACAATAAATTAGTGAAATTATAGAGATAATACTTGGAATTTTTGCTTTACCTGCTGTCTCTAAAATGGAGGATTGAGGTTAACGAAGATTCAGTATTGGCATCCATTTAGAAATAATGAGAACTACATCCAGAGGCTGCTGCATCCTAGTAATGACCTTTGGAATGGTCTCACAGGTAGACCTCCATAAGGCTTTCTTCCTGCAATAAACATTGAGTACATACATATTAGACCTTCTTGAGTAAACTAAAAGTTAGGAAAAAAAAGGGAAAATATATTCCGATTAAAAGAGAAATGTGCATCTTACATTGCTTGCTGTGAACTTTTCGCGTAGAGCATAAACACCTCAAAGAATCATCCAAAGTCCTGCTCATTTAATTGCTGAAAGAACCTCCATGTATTAAGGTTGAATTAGGAGCAACTGACACAGTAGCTCTTTTTGCAATAACTTTGATAGTCAGTGGTCCTTTTAGTGGGTCTGGCTGAGACAGAGACAATTTTCCCCACAGCAGCCCTCACAGTGCTGTGCTGTGTATCAGTGGCTAGAAAGGTGTTGATAGCATACCAGTGTTTTGGCTACTGCTGAGCAGAGCTGGCAAAGCATTGGAGCCGTTTCTCCAACATTCCCACCTCATTCACAGCCTCCAACCCGCAGTAGTCTGGGGATGGGCAAGATCTTGGGAGTGAACACAGACAGGACAGCTGACCCAAACTGGCCAAAGGGATATTCCATACCATATGAGGTCTACTCAGCAATAAAGGCAACGAAAACTAAGAGAAAGAGGGGGGTGGTGGGGAAATTTGTTATTATGACATTTGTCTCCCAGACCAAACACTACATGTACCAAAGCCCTGCTTCACAAGAAGTGGCTGGATATCACCTGCTGATTGAAAGTAGAGAATATATCTTTGTTTGCCTCTGCTTCTGCACATGGCCTTTTTTTTTGCTTTATTAAACTGCCTTTATCTTGACACAGAAGGGTTTTTTCCATCTTATTTTCTCCCCTCACCCTGTCCTGCTGAGGAGGGGAGTGACAGAGCAGCTTGGAGGGCACCTGGCATCCAGCCAAGGTCAACACACCACACTCCTCCAGATGTCATCCTGGAGAAAGCCACGCACATCTATCTCGCATATTTGTCTCTCGGACAGGTGGCAATAAATTTCTACTTCTCTGCTTTAATTTTGATGGTCAGACAGGCAGACAGGCATTCATTTCACAGTGGATTCCTTTTTGTCAGCATTTCAGAATATTAGCTCTTTCACAGTTTTCCTAAAACTGGGTCTTAGTTCAAATTTCATGAACACCAGCACATAAAGGTCAGTTCACATAAAGGTCAGTTTCCTAAGTTTCATCATTCTCCCTTGTATTGATTCACTTTAGCCATACGTAGAAGACCCAAGCTTACTTCTGCTTCACCACAAAAATCTTTCATACGTTATACAGTGGGAAAACGTAACAAGTTTGAGTTGATCAATTTGTGAAAACATGTTAAGGTAAGTTATGTGGAAAATTGGACTGATGCTGCTTTTACAGCTAAAATCCACTAAAGCACAAGAAAAAAGAGTGACATTCCAACTAGACATGCATTCCTGCTAATTATCATGAATCAGGGTGAAGGAACTTCAGTTAGTATTTAATACCGCATGGCTCTTTTTCAAGTCCTAGACTCTTCTTGCATTAATGCTAATTTAAGAGTCAGAATAAAATAAGGTCTTACATTTTTTTAAAAAAATTAATATTTACATTGAAAAATTATGTTTCTGATAAGAAGTCATAATAATTATATAATTATAATTAATTATATAATATATAATATATTATATATTAGTAATAATATATATATGTAATTATAATTAATACAAAATGAAAACTGCTTTTTCAGTATTTAATACTGGCCTCTGATACTGCTAATGTCACTAAAAATGTAATTTTAAAAACACCTGAAATAGCCTTTACAATAGCAGTTGAAATAGATTTATGATGGACTTACAGGTTTCCCTAGGATCCAGACATGAGATTTTAAATAATACAGATGTTGTCTGAGTGGAGGCTTAAAGCACAGTTGCACTGAAGCCAACTCAAAGGATCTAACTCTTTAAAGGAGAGTTAGTTGACTTATGCCACATTATATTGCAATCTCCCACGTTGATATCCCTTATATGTTAATTACCAGAGCATTAGCCTTTTTAGCCATCAGCGTGCTTGTAGCAAGCGTGGGTAGAGCCCTTCTCAAATCTTCGTTCGCAAAGCCCAGCCATGATGATGATGAGCCTATGTAATCACTCATCACTGGTGGCTCAGTGCCAAAACTTTTTGCTATGGTTCTTGAATTCCTGCTCACCATGTCACTGAGAAGAACCCTTGCTACTACTCCACTCTTTACAGGGAATGCCTTTGTCCCTCCGATGCCCTGACTTACAAAACTCCTACATAACACCTGTGCAGCTACTGCAGAACACTTCTGGGTACTGATCAAATAATAAAAGGGACTTGCTAGAAGAAATCAGAAACATAATCAACAAGAAGAAAAAGGGTGACAAAAATCCAGATAAATGCTTTAATGTAAATGATGAGAGGAAAAATATGGTAACAGGACTGAGAGTGAAGAAGTGAATGGGATGACGGCAGAAGAGGATAAAATGAACATAGAGAAAGGTTGGTGAAAGAGAAGAACTGGATTTTGGCCTGTACTCTCCACAACTGAGTTTGGCTACTACTGAAGCCAACAGAGGGGATTAGACAATGGATTTTGCTATGAGGGGACAGTCAAGCCTCTGCCCAAGCCTAGAAAACTTTTACAAGGACCAGAAGGTGCTGAGATTCCCTTAGATGCATGAGCTGAGACTCTTCCCACTTTCTGCTAGAAAGATACAAGGTTTCCTTGAGGGGTGGGAGGAGCAGGAGATGCCTGCTACCACCAGAAAGCAGAAGGAAGGCACAGGAGTCTCACCCTGCAAACAGCTCCTCCAGCTCACTTGGGTATGACATTTCCAGGAGGTGAACAAGCAAAGCATGTGCTGTAACTCCAACACATCAAAAACCATGTTGCTGAAAAAATATTATACCAGCTCCTATCATGCATGCCCATATTACAGTGAAATCGTGCTTTTTTCAGTTGCATACTACCGTTAGGAAATGGGTGATGTCTATTTGTTAATACTGAACCTGAAGGGAATTTCTTTCATACATTAAAAACTCTCATGAAAAGTCTGATTCTTTTTCTTATTCAATACAGCACATTAGCAATCATTAAAAAAAGTATAGACTTAAAGCAGTATTGCTGATCAAATATAATATATTGCATTAGAAATAAATTCCATATTAAAATAGGGACTTTTACTATAGAATTACTTTTTTTTTCAAATAAATTACTGAAACTTTTGCATTATGAAAGCTCTCAGGCAAAATTAATGGTTTTGTTTTGCAAATTAATTTAGATATTAAAAAATTATATTTTCAACCAAGATCTCAGTTACTCAGATTAAATATTAACCAAAAGCTGTCTTCTGCTTAAATAGAATTTAGCCTTTGAAGTGTTTTTATTAATCTCTTCTGATGTAGGTGCTTGAAATTCTATGAAAGTGCTGCTGCTACCAGTTCTGTGCATCACTTACTGTAATTTATTTTCAGAACATAATTCTATTTATAAATGAAAATCCTATTAAAAGAAGACAAGAAAAATTAGTCCTAGACTTTGCATTGGTAGAGTAGAAACAAAATGAGCGGCCTAACCTGAAGTGACATTTACAAATTACCTGTTAATTTAAACTGGGTTGAAGGATGACAGAGTTTAGTCAGACTGACAGGAAGTACCGAAGGAATGACAGTTGGGCCTGTAGTGGCCATAAAGCTCCCACAGCAGGCACATTTATCTACCTTCTCTGGGAAAAGCTTCCCTTGTAGTAAATAATATATTTGTAAAAATATTTACTCCGTGGCAGCCCAGTGACGGAACATCTTATGGAGCTGAACACCTCCCCCACTCCATCACCCCGCCATCCCCTCCTTTTAATTCTCATTTTTTCTAGGGATAAGAGCTGCTTTAAGATGGCCACCTGCCCTTAGTCACATGGCTGATTCATCACCACCCCCCTAAAGCTAAACCACATGATTTTCTTAATGAAAATGAGACAAGAAGTGACAAGGCTTGTATCCTTTAGATGCTTCAGGATAACATTCATGCCCTAAGACCAGTTCCTTTGTATGCTAGACATTCTTTGAACAGACACGATTGCGTATCAAGGCCATGCAGTGCCCAATATTTACAAAGATAATAATAGCTGCTCTCACTCCACTTACAAATAGCATGGAGAAGACTCAGAACCAAGTGCTCAGAGTCTTGGTATTTATTCACTTTTGAAAACCAAAATGTTTTCTGAAGGAAGAGGCTCCAGTGTCTTATACTTTAGCATCAAACACTGTCCAAGAGTACAAACTTCTTAAAATTAATTCATCAAATAGTTAAGCTATAAATGGAACATTTGGGAGTGTTAAAATAATCTAATGACAATTATTTAGGAATCTGTCCTTCCTCTGACAGTCAGTAAAGGACGGTATCATACAGCTGCTGGGGAGCACACACGTGTGTGTGGGGACATGTATGCAGATATGTAGGCAGGCTATGGCCACCTAACAGCCCATGCACGAAGGTCCTGGTGCATGCTTAATGAAAAATGCTATAATCTTTTCAAAGAGCAAGCTGTATCTTATGTACACCTGGAAATGACTGGACATAAGCAGAAGGTTATTGTCCTTGGCCAGGCAGCCACAGCCGTCCCCCCTCACCTCACCCCCACTGCCTCACGCAGCCCACAGGTCGTGTTGCAACCACACTCTGGGTTACTCCTGGGGGAACATAACCTGTGCTGATACAATGCAGCTGGGTATAACTATAAACATATCTATATATTCACAAGAAAAAAAGATTGTATAAATTCCTCTGCCTGCATGAACATCAGTGTATTTAGAGATAAAAAACAAATGGTATTTGGAGATTGTGTTTATGTTCCAGAGCAAAGGCATGAATTCCCATAACCTATTTCAACAAAGTTCAGAAGCCCTTGGCTTAATGCTATTTTCACAAACCTTGCTTTTGAAATTGATAGTCAAAACACACAAATGTCAACCATAACCAAGTCTGCGACACCAAACCAACCCGTGGTTTCTGTAGGTTGCTGTGGAAGACTTGCCAGTGGGTA